AAAAATAGAATAAACGTAGTTGTGGCCAAAAATATGTGATCGTCATAAGGAATACCTACGTTGTATACATCTATTTTTAATTGACCGGAAGGCTACTAACTTTGAAGAAGGGAAGTATGGTTTAATTTTATAAAACAAAAGCAGAGTAAATACACCTAACTTTATTATTTACGTACAACATGTGACAAATAGAATGAACAACAAAAACATTAACAACCATTTAACATAAAATGAGAGTGCCAGGCTCACCGAGAGCTCCTGCGGGGAAAGAGCATGGCAGAGAAACCCACGATCGTTGCTCTAACTACCCAAATATAAATACAAAACAACCGCTAACAAAAGGCATAAATTATGATCCTTTGCTAATGATAATTAACGCCCGACTCATTTAAGGTGTCACTAAATGTCACCTCCCTCGAATTAGACATACACACTTCCAAGTAAAGAGGTTTGTTTGTTAGTGCTCCGGCAGGGCCGGAAGGTACTGGAGTCCCATACGGGAGGCAATCCAGCTATGAGTTGAGATTTCGGAAGATCTGTTTTAGCAATTCTTTTTTTTTGTATTTAATTATTCTATTTACAGATTCATTCCTCACGGGCGAAAATGTTAGTAAATTCAACAAGGCTGTTAAATATATGCGTATGACATAAAGTGAGCACAAGAAATGCTTTATTATTTGTTTTTCGAACAACGTAATCATGATAAAATAAGTTAAATGTGAAACAAAGGAGTTGTTATTCCAATATCCGGGCAGTCACGACAATATATACATATTTTAACATGTAATAAATAATGGGCAATCGTTAATAATAATTGTAACAATTTTACCTTAGAAAAATATATGCCCTTCAGCATAAAGCAATGATGGCAAAACATACAAAGAATTATTATCATGAACAATTAACAACAAAATACTTAGAGAATGCCTGCTAAATACGGGTTAAACACTTTGATTTTTCACCATTTTGCCACACTGCCCGCCGATCGTCTTACTCCCGTCTCCACACTGTTATCACTTCAACTATCTAGGCTTCCTTTCAGAATTCCCCACCTAAGCGTTTGTTTTTGCGCTTCCTTCTGCCAACTGTCAACATTACGTTTTCATTATTATACAACACCCATGTAACAGGTGACGTCGAAGTTGATACGATAAGTATGGTTTTGCACAATATTTACGGTACAAATTTGATGGCAATCTTTAATGTTGCGAAATATTTTATAAAATAATATCAAAGTAGGGGTAAGGTCATTTTTAAATTTGGTAAATATACATACAATTTTAAATGTAATGTACCTACTTGAGGCATATAAGGTCCACTTAACTTAAATATGTAATAAATAGTATATTTTGTTGTTTACAAAGACAATATCATGTTTCTATAAAGTGTACTAATTTGAGTGATCACAAAAGTTAAACAAATAGAACAAGAGACAATCCTTTTAAAAACATTTGACTTTTAGAAAACTCTTTCTCTGGACCTTTGAACCAAAGTGGTATAATAAGACCCCCTGTAAACTTTCAGTTTTTCGCAACTTATCTTCACAATGACTCCTTAAAAACATCCTTAAATTAGAAAAAAAAATACCTACCTATAAAACTTTTATTACACATTTCCCTTAATAATCAACATGGGCCTTTCAACCCTTGGGGAGGTAGAAATGCTACCTACTCAAAAAGCAAACTAGGTAAATGAAACTTGTTTTAAAAACATGAAAAATTCTCTTTCGATAATAAAAAAAATAAATTGGACTACTTTTTCTTTGATTAAAAAAAAAATAAATCCTAATTCGTTTTTTTTATAAAAAACAATAAATGAGACTTCTCTATTTATGACTAAAACTAAATTAGACTTCTCCTAACTAAACTAATCGCATGTGTGGGTAAAGAGTATCATCGAATTATTATATTATTTTTAAATGTTTTAATACCTACCTCGTGGGCCTTATTTGCCTCAGATACCTTATGTATAATTCTTTGTAATATAATTTTTTGATGTAGGTATTATATGAAAATGGCATTTTGCCTAGACATATATGTTTTTTTATCTCTGAGAAGTAGTAATTCTTCAGGAAAGAAGTGTGCCACTTACCATTTAAATTCCAAATTTCAGCTCAAAGATTTGCTGTAATTGACATTAATTGTTAAGACCCTCTAAAATCACCTTGAACATTTTAAATGTTAGAAAATGGTTGATTATATGAATTTCTTAAATAGCATAGTATAGTACCTATTATTATTGAGTTCTAAATAAAAAAATCATCCACTATATTTCTGATCATTTCTATTGAACGACATCTTGTACATGTTGGTCAACTTAAAACTACAAATACATCCAGTGTTTCTTATGCTGCAAACAAGGTATATTTTAGGTCATAAATTTTTTAGAGGTTCCTACTGGACATTGGGGAGAGAACATTGGAGTCCTTAGGCATTTTATTTCTGAATAAAAGAGATACTTTTGTTACAATTTGTTAAACTGATTCGTTTCTAGAAAAAGCAGAAAAATTCAATTTTCGTTCCTAACCCATCATTCTAGTCTCCAAAAAGGATGAGCCAAATTCTATTATCTACAGGGTGCCCCGGTACTTGATACAAAACAATCGAATAATGTAGATGAGTTCAAAATAATATCAGTTCTTCAAATAATTTTTTTTCATACGGGCCTTCGTTAACAAGTTACGGGCCCTCAAAAGTGAAAATTAAAAAGATATTTTTATTTGCAGTCTCTAAACCATTAATTTCAGCATGATGCAAATTTGGTGATCGATAACACATGCGTACTGCTTGTTTTTGATGCTGTAAGTAAAACTTCATTATGCCCAGAATGCCAAGGGCGGACTATGCCCAATGGTTGACAACCCAGAATTTTTGCACATATGACGATCGCAATCTGCCTGCATAAAAAATAAGTTCCCTGAAGAATTTACCAACGATAATAATCCCTTGGTTCAACTCGGTAAAATCAACAGTTTAGAAAATATTTGTGATTTTATGTCACAGTCCACACCGAGAGGCGCCTTCACCATTTTTTTGTTTTTAATTTTTAATTGGACATAATTACTGTGTTAGAACCGTACATATTTTTAAATAAGGGTATAGAAAATCTTACTGTCTGCTAATGTAATTTTCCCAAACAAAATTTGTTAAAGTTAAAAAAAAAATAATTTAAAAGAAAGAAAACTGTCAAAATACATTTTCAATATGAGCACTTTCCACCTCCACACACTTCTTAAGTCTACTAATGTTATTTGTTTGTACACGAAAAAGCATTTCTGGGGTATGTATAATATTATCACAATGGAAATTAATTCTTTGTACCAATTCATCCCTTGTCAGTATTGGAGTTGCGTACACTAAACTTCCCGACGGAAGAAGTCCATTGGGTTAAAGTATGGAAAACGTGGTGGCCATGAAATTGAGCCACCTCTTCCAATCCATTTATTACTAAACACAATGGATAAATAATTTCGTACATCAATATTGAAACGGGGAGGTGCCCCATCGTGCATGAACCAAACGTTTCTTGAGGTGTCTAATAGAACATCGTCTAATAGTAGCTGCAAATTATTTTGCAAAAACTCCAAATGTCGATGTCTATTCAGACGTTCCTCAAATACGTATGGATCTATTTAATTATTACCCTTTTTCGCGTACGAACAAATAACATTCGTAGTCTTAGGATGTAGGTGGAAGGTATTGAGGTACTTTGATAATTATCTTTCTTTTAAATTATTTTTGTAACTTTTTTAATTTATTTCTGTTTTGCTTTTTTATTTTGTGTAATGTGTAAAGTGTGTTTGTCAAATTTTCTTAATGAAAATTACATTAGCAGACAGTAAGATTTTCTCGGCCCTTATTTTAAAAATATGTATGCTTCCAACATAGTAATTAAAAACAAAAAATGGTGGAGGCGCAGCTCGATGTACACTGTGACAAAATCACAAATATTTCCTAAACTGTTAATTTTACCGAGTTGAACCAAGAGGGTATTATCGTTGGCAAATTCTTCAGGAAATTTATTTTTGTTATCGCAGTTTGCGATCGTCATCTATGCAAAAATTTTGAGTTGTTAACCATTGGGCATAGTCTGTCCCTGGCGTTCTGGGCATAATGAAGTTTCACTTACAGCATCAAAAACAAGCTGTACGCATGCGTTATCGATCACCAAATTTGCATCATGCTGAAGTTATTCGTTTAGAGACCGTAAATAAAAATATCTTTTTAATTTTTACTTTTGAGGGCCCGTAACTTGTTAACGAAGGCGCGTATGAAAAAAATGTATATGAGGAACTAATATTATTTTGACCCCATCTATCTGTACTCGACATTTTTGTATCAAGTACCGGGACACCCTGTATATGCAAATACTTCCCTTGACAAGTTCATATAATTCATTGTGATTCATGTTTATAAGATCAATTTGTAATAGTTATTTATTATCAATTTTAATTACCTTTTGTACCTATAGTTTTGAGATTTATGTAACATATCTACCACCTCACAATTAGGTAGATGATACAATTTTTTTATTTACTTTTCTTGCTGTTTCTCTTGATAAGAATTTTTGTATTTTAAGTGTTTTCTCTCTTTATTACAGTGAATAGCATCTAACTTTATTTAGAGATCACATTTTCTGTTTTCAATTGAATTTTATTTCTACACTTTTCGAGTTTTGTTTGATACCTTAGATTTTTATATTTCATTAACTATATTTGCATTACCTATATTCTAATATTGTATAATACTAACGTATTGTATAATATTACTACTCTCTTAGTGTATTGTTGAAAGAAATGAATATTTGTTCAACCATGTAGAATTATAAGATTGAGTAATATCTGGCATTTCCTTTGGAGCCTCGCTAATAAACTTTACAACATAGACAGAGTAAGACTAACAAAAATCACGTCTACGCGTACGCCAAAGAAGGAGGCTAGATTGGATTGGAAAGAGAGTTTCTTCTTGATTATGTCATGCGTTCCGTTTAATGGTTAAAGCACTGCCGTTCACAAGTGTTTGGTCACCGCGGTATGATAACATACAAAACATTGTAGTGATACCTGTTCATTATCTCACTAGTTTCTTGAAAATGGTGGACTAATACTGAGGTGAACATTATACTTGATATATACACTTGTAAGTACTTAGTATTTTTTCAATATTACTCTTTTGATTAGATGTAATAATCATTTACAGCGTAATAATTTTACTTTCAGTAGGAATTTAGAAATAAGGTTAAGTGAAATTAATAGAACGGAAATAACATTTAAGTATTTCAATTTGAATTCGCGCAATGTTAAACTTTTATTAAATCTGTAAATATGTTTCAATTCAGAAATGTTTTATAATAATATTTCAATTCATAAAAAAAGGGTAAGATGTTTTTGTTGTTATATATTTTAGTCATCAATTTTTAAGTCTGACAATTTAAATTTATTTTGTACTTTTCTTATGAATAAATAGGTAAATACAAACCTAATTTATGTACTGTCGTGTATTTTTAATATATTAAAACTGTTTCAAGAAAGTTGTAGTTGATACTTAGATATTTGATATTGAAGTCTGAGTCTGAGTACATCTAGGTATTTCTTCATAAACATGTGAATATGTAGTAAATTGTATATAAATGTGTTAAATAAGTAAGTGATTGGAAGTATAAAGTCTTTAAGTACACTTAAATTAAAAAAACATTTATAAGTAAATTTTAATAAAATATAGGTACCTACTACCTACTACTTTCTTTTAAATATGTTTATGCCGCCTTAAATATCAGTACATACATGACACTAGGACCACCACGTTCCATACTTTTATCTATAAAAATTTCTACTTATTTTTCTTCATATTTAGCAGTTAAAAAACGAAAGCAAGCAAAATCTTAGTACCTATAACCTTAATAAAATACATATACAAAATGTATATTTACAAAGTTATAGTCAGAAACGGCTGAAATATAGAAGTTGTTCAAGGATTTCGGTATTTAATTGTAAAAAGGGAGTAGTTTGTTTCCGTAGCATAGAAATTTTTTTGGCAGAATCCAAAGCACTGACAGAAATATGTCTTTATAGCCTTAATAAAAATAATATAAAATACAGGGTCAAATATAGGGTGATTCACGGAAATAGTATTACTAGAACCTAAGGACTTTTTTGAAACACTCAGTACGAACAGAATTACATAACCTCAGACTATTGTTTAAGTAAATAATAAAAATAGACAGTAAATAAATAAAACAAATAAAAAATCTGAGAACCCCTAAAGCTTTTGACATTAAAAAGCAAACAGATTAATATTAAATATTATAAAAAAGTCTAACAGAAAGGTGTTAAAATTAACCAAACATACAACATTGACTGTTTTCGAGAAAAAATGTATCTTAATCTTAATGTTTTTAAGAAATTTCAAGAAACAGTAAAAATGTACCTACTTTATGGTAAAGCAGCAGAATTTTAACATGAAGCAAAATGTTAGAGAATCATTATATCGGATATTGTAAGTTGTTTAATTAATTGAAAAATTGCAAAGAAAAAAGTTATGATCAAAGTCAATGTCAATAAGGGCCATTTAGGTAATTTGTTTTAATAAGTGATTAAATCTGAGACAATTAAAATATCGCTTAAATGAACAAAGTTATGGCACTATACAGGGTGTTAATATTAACTGCCAAACAGTGCCTAATGGTTGATTTTATTTTAAAAATAAATAAAAAGAATCCCTATAAACATGTTCCCGGAAATGCTTTTTATTTTCGAGATACACACTGTTGAAATTTTAAAAAAATATCACATTTACTTGAAATTTGAATATCTTTTAACATACCTACTTGACGTAAATTGATAGACCTTATGACTCAATGACCTAATAAATTGTGGACAAAAACAGGGTGTTTCAGAAAGACCTTCCGTAAATTCAGGGCGTGATAGTACGATAAAAAATAAGAACTTTTTGTCTTATGACCTATATGTCTATCTCCTCTAGTTTTCGAGATACAGAGCGACAAATTAAAATTTTTTAAATAGAATTTTTACGAATATTTCCAAAAAATATTTTGATGAAATAAATTTGGTATTCCGGGGTTTTTAAGGACGCCAAATACGCTGGTCTAATTATTTTTCCGATATTTCATAGAGGGCGCTAGTTATTCGTATAAAATTTAAAGTTCAAATTTTTTTGAGATTAAGTTTTTCGGGCTCCAATTTCTAATGTACAATTTTGTTTTCTAAAAATAATGTACTCTTGTAGCAAAAAAATGTATAATTGTTTTTAGTCATATGCGACATAGGATCCACCATTACGATTTTACAGACTGTATCATTAGACTCCTGCATTAATTAAAAAAAAAGTTGAGATTATATAACCCCGTTAATATTCTGTTAATACCATTATTCTTGTGCGTGGAATGCTTCCTAAAACATATGTACTTATTTCGGAAACACCATGTATTTAAATAATATTAAACCAAACAGAATACGTCATTTGATGCTTTAATCACAAATATTATTAACAGAAATGTAACAATCATATTGTTATGTGTAGGAAGAATAAATAATAATAATAAAGATATTAAGAAATTTCAAATTTTATTTCTCTTTTTAGTATTTTTTTTTCAAAGTTCAGAGACCAGTACTGTGAATAAGAATAATGGGAAAAATAAGTCTTAGAAACTAATTCTACCTCTTCAATGTAATTTTGATATATTAATTAACTACTTTATTAATTCCTTACTATTTGTTTGTACAGGGCGATTTACTATATTTTGACCCTCCCTTTAACTTTTTTGCTTTAAGAGTTATAAAAAAATGTGGAATACAAACGTTGCACGATTTTTTATGAATTTTTCGAAAATGATAGTTGAAAAACAAATGAAGTCTAAACAAAATGGCCGCTGATGCTAACTTTGTAGATATAACGTTCCCTATCGAGCATAGTCATATAAGGTTTGTTGGATCCATCTCTAACAATAAGCGAGATACTATTAAAAAACGAAAAGGAGGTTTTTTATTATGAAAATAAGATATCCTGTAATTGTTAGACATCTTTCAGGCATTTCTGCCTTTTTTCTAATTACATACAAATTTACAGATTTAGTTAAAATATATTTTGATATATCGGACATTGATATGGTCCAAATTGCGTATAGGTATTCACATTTCAATGTCCGATATGACAAAATATATTATAACTAAATCTGTAAATCCTTACGTAAATAGAAAAAGACAGAAATGCAGAAAGAGGTCTATCAATTACAAGATGTATTATTTTCTTAATAAAACACCTTCTTTTAGTTTTTTAATTGTATCTCGCTTATTGTTAGAGATGGACCCAACAAACCTTATATGACTATGCTCCACCGGGAACGTTCTGTCCAAATATGTAAAAATATACAGGGTGTTCTTAAATTAACAAAGTTAACATCAGCGGCCATTTTGTATGGACTTCAATTGATTTTCAATCATCATTTTCGAAAAATTTATAAAAAATCGTGCAACTTTTGTATTTCACATTTTTAACTCTTAAAACAAAAAAGTTAAAGGGGGGGTCAAAATATAGTGAATCACCCTGTACAAGCCAATCATTTACAGCAGTAACTTAACTGTTTTGTTAGTTAAAAAACTCGTATGTTCGCGACACGGGAAAGCAGTTTAGAAAATATTATAGGAATTCCTTATTATCTTATACGTTAGACTTAATTTATGGAAATATTAATTATTTAAGTACGTAAACGAGTAAAGTCGTAGCTAAATATACTAAAAATAATATATGTTTAGAACCATGATTTTAGATTGAACATGATGACAGCAGTTTTTTCAATTGGAACGATTTTTTATAATATGTACTGAGAAACATCTTTGTCTCATCAACCAACCAAAAAGACAAAGAACGAAATTGCCTACAAACAATTCTAATTTTGGAAACTCTCTTAGCGTTAGTAGTGTTATTAAATCTTCCACAAAGCAGTCTAGCTAATGGAGAAGATAATAGATAAAATTGTTTTTTTTTTTTAAGAAACTAATGTGTCAATTGTAATTTTTTCTTTTGCAAATATAATATGCAACTGGGTGATGTTAGAGTTTCTCTCTCATTGTGGAATAAACAAATAGATGATGATATCTGTTACAAGACTGTAATGAAATGAAAAACAGTCAATCTGAAAGGGCACTAGAAATGAACATATAATAACAAAGTATTAATAATTCCCTGAAAGAAAAACGCATACCAGTATTCATAAATGTAGCTTCTATTATTATTAATTCTAAATAAAAATTAATGATACAATAATAATAATCTTCATTTACTAAATTATTACTGCACTTGAATATTATTGAAACTGGTATCATAAATTAATTTTATGATTGGCTTTCCATTTTATATCTATCCTTCGTAATTAGTCGCCTTGGTTCTTATGAATGCAATATAACTGCAATTGAAAGTTGTTTATAACAATAGCAGTATGCAAGGTCTCGTATAGAAAGTATGGAGACCGAATATATCTTTAAAAGTACAAATATTTTTATTTCAAATTCTACTATATATTTACATGGCACGATTTACCTAAGAATACTTAACATGGAGACCTAGCAAACGTAAGAAGTACGATATTGATTAATCAAAACAAAATAAATGTTTTTAATTTTTTTGTAACTCGTGTAGATTACAAGAGATAAATTAAATCCTATAAAAACACGATTTTTTAAGTAACCTTGTAATTACATAAAAGAGACTTGAAAATTCCAGGTACTACACAGATCAATATCCTATACATTGACTGATATTATTAGAATTTTTGTAGAATTCTAGAGTTTGGTTAGCAATAGTATTTAGTATTTAATAATTATTTTGTTGCAACTTGGACATTTTTACTTATGAAGTAATGAAGTAAGTATGAAGTGAGTTTGATTTAATTTTCTAAGAAAATTTTCCGGATTCTCTAAGAAAATTTCACTTCCATATTGTGAATAAAATAAAAATCAAACCTGATATTTTGAAGTAATCGAAAACAAATTGTGAAAAAACCCTTGACAACAGCAGTGATTTGTTAATGCCGTTGACGTTAATTGTTCATTCGACGCCGTTAGCTTTTGTTGAAATTGTGTAGTATTTTAAAATGTCCCATTTCGGTGAAGAAGATCAATCGC